AGGATCTGTCATTCTGCTTAAGTGGGGGCATGCCTGGCTTGCCACAGCCTCCCCCATTCAGCTGCAATGTCCTCGTTCTCCACTGCCAATTCATTGTAAGGTGGAGTCATCCACTTCTGTCTTTTGCAATCAATGAGATTAAGAAAAAATTAAGCACTGAGAAAGAACCAGGCAAAGATCACTCTAAACTGAATTAATAAGCAGGGAGTGCTTCCCTGCATGCGCAACATTAAAGGCAATTTGCAGTTTAAAGTGATAAATATCAGCTGAGACTCCTGGCTGAGGATGTCACTACAGGGACTGCAGGGCCACATGATAAATCCTTGCTCAGGACTCCATACACTTCTCATATAAAACAAGTCTAAGGATCTTTAGGGCATGGCAAACAGAAGGCTTTGATTCTGCTGCACTGGCCACAGCAGACGCCCCATTATTCACATGAGAAAGCATCTGTCAAGGTATTCATCCATCCAGATGTTTGCTTTAAAACCACTCTGCTGATGGGTATTATTTTTTTGGGTTCTTTGTTTTGGTCATCAATAGGAAACTAATATTTTGTACTTGAAACTTCTTTTAGTTCCTTAAGGACTTACAGAGTTGGGGGCAAGCTGTCACTCAGGCACGGTGGGACCTGAAGTGACACAAAGTCCTCCCTCATTTGGGTTCAGAACCTGATATTTTTCAGTGAAACTAGTGCAAATTCAGAGAAACTCCAATAAAGGCAATGGTCTTATTTCCATTTTGCAGTAATATACTGAGATTGATGACTGATCTAATCTCAGCCTCAAGTATTACTAAAGAAAGCCATTTTACCTCTTTGCTGCCATTCAGATACTATGGCAAGGGAGGAGGAAATATCTGAAGCCCGGAAAAGGCAGAGAAAATAAATATCTTTAAACTGGAAGAAAATGAGTACTGAATGTTCCAAAGAGAACAGCCCTTTGGGGCACCAAAAAAAATACTTCCAGCAGGCTGAGTGCCTTGACCTGATCACAGCCAGCAGGAAAAGTGTAAGAAGGGGCCAGCACAGGCAGAGGCCACAGGAGCAAACTGCTTGGGCATGGGCTGGGGCTGGAGCCGCGTTTGGAAGGCACTGAACTGCCAGGGCTGTCCAGGAACAGCTTTGCTGGGGCCACCCAGCCCAGAAGATGCTGGAGGTGGTGCTGGTGGTCACCGTCCGGGGTCTCGCATGGCTGAGCAGTGAGGAGGAGGCTGGGCTCTGCTGCTCGGCATGGGAACAAAGGACCGGTCCTTGAGCTGTTTGGCTTCATGCACTGTGCCAAAACCTTCCAACCTCCAGCAATTTGTGGGTTAGGAGCTCCCTGAGATATTCATATTCTTGTGTTTAAACTCTAGGGTAAATTTTAGCCACAATCCCTACAAAATTTGTACATAAACAAATGATCAAGTGATAGCTTTGTGTGAGTAAAGTAGACGAACAGGAGCTTTTACAAATTTGTCAAGTACAAATCTTATCAATCAGATCATTTTGTTTCTGTGGTAAGGTAACATAGTTCACACAGGAAAAAAGATCATCTATCTTAATTATGGAGATGAATTAGCATACATACATGTATCACATCGTATTTTCATAAATGACTCAGTGACTATTGCTGAGCTTGAACCATGATAGGGACATTTCAAATCCTGTTTCTTGTTTCTTTTGTGGATGAAATGCAAGTCTAAATGAGCCTTCTGAGCCTGATGTCAGTGTGGGCAGCACAGTAAAGATGATATTTATTAAATCCACAGCTTTGCCAGAAGCACAAAAAGAAGAAATATTAGTGCCCTGGGTAATTTTGAAAAATTGGAGGAATGGCCTGAAAAAAAAAAAAAAAGGAATAAAATCCACAGTCAGGATGGGAAAAGCAGGAAAGTCTACAGTGTTGATAGTGGTGTTTATAAATGAAACAGAAGACACCAGAGTCACGATACAGAGAAGAAGGACATTGTGCTGGGATGCATCCAGAGCAGCATTGCCTGTACAGTGTGTTCAATTGGCCTGCGCTGTCCTGGCTTGGTAAAGTCTCATCTGCGGATGATCACTGCCACAAAAGATGTAATTTAGTCTCCACTCCGGCCTCCTGAGCTTTTCCATTTTTACTTTCTCATAGTTTGTAAGATAAATGGAATTCCAAGTATTTAGTTCTAACTCCACCTAAGGAGTAAGCTGTATGATTTGATGAGAAATACAGGAGCTGACTGTATTAATTTTCTGAGTTCTACTAGAAATGCTAGGTATTTTATGAATGGCTATCAATGTGTCTATCTCTCTGGAAAGTCTGGGTATCACACTTCTGCCAGAAAGGCTTTCAAAGTTGATGGCAAATGAGACAATCAAACCTGGCAGAAGAATCTGGGGGAGAAATTCCCCCCCCCCCCCCCCCCAAAAAAAAAAAAGAGAGAAAAATATAAACCAAAACCAAACCAAACCAAACAAAAAAACAACAAACAATGCTTTACCATATGAAAAAGAGGGACTCCCAGCAGAAGAAGAGAAGGTATTTCTGTGAGAGGGTTGCTAGCTGTGCCTTACACTGATTCCAGATCCTGGAGAAGAGGCTTTCAGTGGGTATCAAAGCTACTGGGGAGAGCTGAAATATTAGGAATATAAATATAAAATGGTTGTGCATTGATAACTTTACTGAAATCAGGATAATTCAAGGATCATGAAATACAAGCTTCCTTACAAATTAGATCCCACAGATCTCAAATACACAGCTGAGCCATAGCAGTCAGTTGTTACTATTAATTACAATCAGCACAAATTAAAGCAGTGGTCCAGGATGCAGTAGTGGGCTGTTGCCATAGATAGCCTTGGTTCTGACTGGATTTGGCCCACAGACGTGTTACCTGGTGGTTTTGTTTTAGTTGAGGACTGTCTGGCTCAGGACAGAAAGAAGGCCTTTGGGGAAGGGGTTGGGGTCACCTTGCCGTGAAGGCGGTCGGTGCTGGGGCAGTGCTGACAGGGCTGCATCTGGCAGGGCCCCGGCAGCAGCTCCCCCAGCTTGGCACAGGTGAGACCACATCTGAGCCCTGGATCCAGCTCATGTCCCGCAGTGCTGCAGGACGGAGCCAGCCCGGTGCAGCCCCCAGGCTGTGGGGTTGGAGCCTGGGACACGCGGGTTTTATTACCGAGCCATCCCCCTGGGTGTGTGCCTCAGCGAGAAGTGTTTCTTCCACACCTTCTCCATCACCAAATCTGATGTGCTGCTGGCCATGCCTTGTGGCTTAAATGTATGCCATCTTTATGGTCAGGTCATAGAATCATAGAATCACTGCATGGTTTGGGTTGGAAGGGACCTTAAAGAAAATCTCATTCTAACCCCCCTGCCATGGGCAGGGACACCTCCCACCAGATCAGGTTGCTTAACTGTGCAAAAGATGTGGCTTCCCGCATTGCACAGGAGATACTATTAATTGGAAGAAATGCATTTGACACTGAGTGATATAACTGCATAAATATTTTAACCAAATGTAATTTCTTCTATTGATTTGCCTCTTTAAATGATGTCTAATAGAGAGTTATGTTCTATCTGCTTTCCTTGGTTAAGGAAAAAAAAAAAAAAAGGAGTAAGTGCTTCAATAAAGTTTAAAGAAGAGAAGCTGGCAGCCCATGCCTCAGACAGGTACATTCCTTACTGGGTTAACTGGCTGGGAGGCTGGGCCCAGAGAGTGGTGGTGAATGGAGTGAAATGCAGCTGGTGACCAGTCACTGGTGGTGTTCCCAGTGGTTGGTGTTGGGGTCCATCCTCTTTACCTTTATTGATGATTTGGATGAGGGAATTGAGTGCACACTCTGTAAGTTTGCAGATGGCACCAAGTTGGGGGGAAGTGTTGATCTACCAAAGGATAGGGAGGCCCTGCAGACAGACCTGGACAGGATGGGTCGATGGGCAGAGGCCAAGGGATGAGGTTCAACATGGCTCAGTGCCGGGTCCTGCACTTTGGCCAGACCCAGTACAAAACCCCATGCAGCGCTACAGGCTTGGGGCAGAGTGGCTGGAAAGCTGTGCAGAGGAAAAGGATCTGGGGGTGCTGATTAACGCTCACCTGAACATGAGCCAGCAGTGTGCCCAGGTGGCCAAGAAGGCCAACGGCATCCTGGTTGTGTCAGGAGCAGTGGGGCCAGCAGGGCCAGGGAGGTGATCATCCCCCGTGCTCTGCTCTGCTGAGGCCGCCCCTCGAGTGCTGGGTTCAGCTTTGGGCCCCTCACTCCCAGAAGGACATCGAGGCCCTGGAGCCTCTGCTCACAGGGAAGCAGGGCCAGGAGCAGAGGGAATGGCCTCGAGTTGTGCCAGGGGAGGCTCAGGTTGGAAATGAGGAGACATTTCTGCTCAGCAAGAGCGGTCAGGCCTTGGGACGGGTTGCCCAGGGAGGTGGGGGAGTCCCCGTCCCTGGGGGTGTTCAAGGAGAGGTTGGACGTGGTGCCTGGGGACAGGGTTTGGTGGGGACATTGGTGGTAGGGGGTGGTTGGAGCAGATGGTCCTGGAGGGCTTTTCCAACCCTAATGATTCTGGGATTTTATGAAATGGTAAAAACAGAGTACTGGATATATTCATGAATGTGATGCTGTGAATATCATCCCTTTGTATCAATTAATTGGGGAACAGAGTAATCACAAAGACCTGAAAAGGGTTATCAGTAAGAACAGTTATTCTTGGTGGATACAAAGGAAAGTTAAAGATGAGACAGAAAAAGCATGTGCAGGCTACCAAGAAAGACACAGTTCTAAAACCCAGGTCTGTTGGTCTGCAGAGGAGCTAACAAGCGAGCTTCTCAAGGTGGGATTCCTGCTGATTGCATCATCTCAAACAGGCTGGATGAGCTGTGACACCTGCCACAAGGATGCACTGGCCACAGGTCTTCCCAGGGTTTCATGTACAAACCTAGAAGTGTATGGCTGCACCATGAGCCCTGTGTGCCCAGGCACAGGGTGGGCTGACAGTGCATGAGCAGGGAGAAATGGGGGGCTTCCTTTCCTTAGTAATGCACGCATCGTTAATCCATGAATTTATTGTGTACCACCAGAGATGGTAATAAGGACAAGACATACATGATCAAGACCAGTCCTTGAAGATCCATGGTTTCCTAATTGCATGCAGGAATTCCTTAGGCTCTGGTTGTGCAGTGGGATTTCCTTCATCTGGCCACCTTGGACACCAAAGGCAGAGGTGGATGGACACACAGAAGCCACCTCTGTTCCAGCTGCTTCTCCTGGCCTTGTGAATTGCTGCAACCAAACCCCCGATAAAGCTCTGAGTTTATGGGATAACACCAGATTACATAAGACAAAATTTTGGTATATCGTTCAGAACTAATTTCTCCTTTTGTAGTGGTGATGGGATTTATTCTGAGGAAGCATCTCATAAGCAGGAAAATTGATCAGTAATGGTGTTGTGCTGAGTCTAAAAAAGGAAGAAGCCGTGTTATTTCACACACATGCACTCTGCTTCCCTGGTAGAGACAATTTCTCTTCCTTTTGGGGGAATAACATCCTTCTCATTGCAATTGCCCAGTCCTAAAGAGTATCTGGGACACCTTTTCTCTGATTAATTTGTTTGTCACTGAGTAGACAATGGGGTTTAGCATGGGTGGTAGGAGCACGTAGAGATTGGCCAACAGGATGTGAACATGGTGGGGGACATTGTGGCCAAACCGAAGAGTGAAAAATGAGAAAAATGCTGGCGTGTAGAACATCAATATAACACAGGCATGAGAGCTGCAGGTGCCAACTGCCTTCACCTGGGCATCCTTGGAGGAGAGCCTGAAGACAGCCCTGAGAATGAGGCTGTATGACACCCCAATGAGCACAACGTCCAGTCCTGGGCACAGGAGGGTGGTGGCAAAGCCGTACCAGACGTTCACGGAGATGTCGCTGCAGGCCAGCCGGGCGATGCCCATGTGCTCGCAGTAAGTGTGGGGCATGATGCTGTGTCCGCAGTACAGCAGCCTCTGAAGGAGGAATATTGTTGGGAACATCACACAAAAGCTCCTGGCTATTGCAGCCACCCCTATCTTGGCTATCGCTGAGTGCGTGAACACCGTGGCGTATCGCAGGGGATTGCAGATCGCAACGTACCGGTCAAACGCCATGGCCAGCAGAACGGTTGACTCCGCAATGAAGCTGAAGTGTGTGAAGAACATCTGGGTAAGGCAGGCGTGGAAAGACATCTTATTGGAAAGGGACCAGAATATGCTCAGGGCTTTGGGCACTGTGGAGGAAGACAATATGAGATCTGTCACCGCTAACATGGCCAGGAAGAGGTACATCGGCTCATGGAGGCTTCGCTCCGTCACAATGACAAATAAGAGGACAAAGTTGCCAAGGAGCGTGGCAATGTACATCAGGCAGAAGGGGATGGAGAGCCAGGTCTGCAGGTCCTCCAGGCCTGCCATGCCCAGCAGGAGGAAGGAGGCAGGATGCAAGCTGGTTTGGTTGGTGGCCACCATGGTGGGAGGATGCCTGAGTCAGTTCGGGCTCCCTTCTCTGTAAGCAGAAACAGGGGGAGGGTGGGAAGCACCATTCATAAAATGTAAAAAACGTGCTCGGATTTCTCTGGAGCACTTTATTTTTCTGGATTCTGAAGTGGGTTAAAAATCACTCCCCCCATGCACTAGGGAAGTGTGCTTGAGATACTGACCCCAAAGCAAGCAACAAATTAAATTAACAAGTGTTTCATAGACTCAGGTGCTGAAATGCAGCAGAGGTGCTCACAAAAAGTCACAAGTCAATGCAAAAGCTTGGTCAGGCACCCAGGAATCCAGCCCCCTGGCTCTAGTTGCTGTTATTTCTTGTGCTTGTGTTCTGTAGCACCCAAAAGCATGAGGCACATGACAAGCTGGGACTGGCTGACACTGATTTTACACAATATGCTATTTCTTTCACTACCTACCTCACCTCTCTCCACGCTCATTCACTCCACATTTTGTGTGACAGCAGACGATGATCTCTGCAAGGCAGGGATGGCTCTCACAGCACCCAGGGCAACCAGGCTGTTTACTGATTGCTGCCTCACATCAGTGTGAAAGGATGATCCAACAACCTGCGCAGAACAAAGCGGAGTGGAAGATCAGCCCCACACACAGGACGTGGTCTCAGGGAATGGCTGTGTGCTCGGGAGGCAGAGCAGCTGCTGAATTTTAAAGCAAATTCAGAAGCAAAGGTCTAAGGCAGAGCACGGCACTGAGAGACAGAAAAGCTGTGCCACCCTGGCATGGAGTTTGCACAGAGATGCTCAGGATCCTCGGAGTTTGCTCATGTCAGTGGCCAAGGATTGCCCAATGCATAACCGGGTGGAGAGGCATTCACTCTGCTGCAGGGTGAAACGCAGCCCCTGAGCCCCAGCAATGCTGCCCTGGTGCATCCTGCCCCGCGCTGCCCCACCTGCCACCAGGAGTGCCCTGAATGAGCCCAAATCCTCCAGTGATCAAATTGTACAGGGCTTGTGTGTGCAGAGTCCTCTCTGCACTCCTGGAACTTTTCTCCTGGGTGTTACCCTGGGACTTTTCTGTGCTCCCACCTTCCCTGCAAGTTGCTCAGCCAGATGTAGAAGATGGTTTGCAGTATATGCATGGAAATGACAAAGCCACCAGTGAGGGCAGCATCATCCAAATTAAGTCAAAATTTAGAGTCGTGAATGCTTCCTGGACAACAGGCAGTCAGCACTAGGTCTCTGGCTGCTTCCCTGGCAGTCAGCTGGCTGCTGACCATCGCATGGGCCCTTGCTGGTACTGCTCTGCTTCTCTGAATGCACATCCCGGTCCTCTTGTTGGGAGTTAAACACAGCAGGCAGCAGGGGGACATCAGGCAAACTATCAGCTGTAGGGCCAGGTTGTGCCTGCTCCGTGCCAAGCTGGTTCTGGTGAGGGCTAGGATGTCAGGCAGGCACTGCAGGCAGCCACTGCTCAGCTCATAGGACCATGGGGTGGTCCGGTTATCTATCTTTTATTTTCTATCTATTAACAAACCTGCAGGGTCAATTCTGCTTCTCATCTCAGAGCCTAAATCTGCAGCTCGGAGTGATCTGGGGGAGCTTTTCACGTTCTGGCTCAAATCAGGCACCTCATCTACAGCAACCTACCAAGCAGCAGCTGCTGCAAACAACTCACCAGCTCCGTGACAGCCAGGAACGAGGGCATTGCCTCTGGACCTCTCGGGCTGCCTGCGGAGCAGAGCAGGGAGGCGGCGATGTTTGAGCACTCCTGTGCATCCCCACGATGTTTGAGCACTCCTGTGCATCCCCATGGGGCTCACATGCAGCTGGGCGGGGGCAGAGCTCTGGTTCGTGCTGCTTGAGCAAACGTGTTGGAAAGCACACCAAATGAAGGGGATTTTGACTGGAACTCCTTTAATGTGGACTGCCTGGGCAGACGTTACCTTCCGTTGCCACTACAGATGGGACAAAGCCATCAGAGCACTGCATCGGCTCCTTCCTGGAGGGACTGGGATGGGATGAGGTAGCTGAAGACACACAGATGAGTGATGCTGACGTCTTCCAGCCAGCCCTGCAGAGACGTTGCAGGATCTGCTGTGCTCACTGCCTTTAGCCTTCCTCTGCCTGCCTGCGTGGGCATCTGAGCGCTGCTGCTTCAAGCACCAGGGTGATTAATACAGTAAATGTGTCTGCTCTCTGCAACAGGCTTGCATTGCAATTCCTGGTCTGAGTGCTCAACACTGGCTTTGTGAGGATTCTCTCTGAGGACATAAAAAGAAAATATAATATTAACAAAGAGTGGGAATGGGAAACAGGTGGGTGAGCAGAAACAGGTCATGGCGGAATGGAAACTAATAAAAGTATGAAAAAAATCAAATGTGGGTACCTTAAATTAAGCAGTAAATCTAGATTTAGTTGCTGAAATAAAAACAGACAGATCATCTTTACCCATATACTTTCTTTTTTTATTCTTTGAGTCAGGAAAATTGTGACCTGACATCACATTTCAAAATTAGATTTTCAAGCTCCCAAAACTGGAATATTTGCAAAAATTCTCTGTCTCCAGCTGCTAGCATGTTCATGCCTTATGGCTACCCAGCCCCAACACATATACTGTAGCACACAACCCCTGGCTCACAGTGACTCTAGTGCAAGAATTCATGGTTTTAATGAAATAAGGTCCAACAGCCCCCTTGATCCACCTGACACACATGTGGCCTAGGCAGGCTACCGCTGATTTTTAATACCTGCAAGTCAATATTGTGTTGTTGAAGCTGGGATTGTCTGACCCATGCGTGACATGGGTACCCCACCCACCCAGTGGCACACAGATCTCAGTGTAGGGGTGAGGGGCTATTTTGGCTCAATTCTCTCTCACCCTTCCCACAGGGACCTAGAACAGTCCCAAACAGGGCTGTTTGTGGCATTGCCCAGCAGCTTTCCGGGGTTCCCATCTCCTCTCCCACACTGGTGATGAGCTACAGCTCAGGCCTGAAAAGCAGGCACGGGTTTCAAGTTCCTCAGTTTTTGGATTTTCAGCCTAAAAGTATCATATTCAAGACATGGACAGGTTCTGAGTGCAGCAGCTGTATTTGTGGGGTGGGGTCAGGTCTCTGTGCACAAGCATCCTTTAACTGATGATGGCTTCACTGGATCTCCACTTCAGGAAGCCGCTCAGGCGAGGACCCTCTCATGGAGACCTCACTTACATTACGCTTCATCCCTGCTTCAGAAAAAAAGAAGAAAATGAGAAAAGGAAGAAGAAAAGGAGAAAAAACTTTCTGCAAAGTTCCTGGCATGGGACATGAAGCCTACAGGGTTAGTCTGGCATGGGACAGCCTGTGAGACCCCATGGACTTGCTGTCTGGTTTGTGGTCTGCAAAACAGAGATAGCCCCTGCCACACACACCTCCCCTCCCCACTAGAGGAGCTCAGCACGGATGGCAGCCCCTCTCCCCATCCCTCTCCCTGTCCCTCTTCCCATCCCCTCCCCATCACTCTCCCTAACCCTGCTCCTCATCCCCTTTCCCTCTCCCCCTTCCCTCAGTCCATCCCCCTCTCCAACCCTTCCAATCCCTCTCCCCATCCCCCTCCCCATACTCTATCCCCATCTTCTCTTGCCATCTCCCTTCCACCCCCCCAATCCCTCTCTCCATTCCCTTTCCCGCTCCCCATCCCCCTTCTCATCTTCCTCCCCCCATTCCCCTTACTCACTCCTCTCCCCCCCTCCACTTCCCATCCCCTCTCCCCATTCCCCCCATCCCCCCTCCATCCCCTCCCATCCCTCTCCCCATCCCCGCTCCCAACCCCCCTCCCCATCCCTTCTCCCCCCCATTCGTCCCTTCCCCATCTCCCCATCCCCTCTCCATCCCCCTCCTCACCCTCTCCCATCCTCGTCCCCCGTCCCCCCCATCTCCCCCATTCACCCCTCTCCCCCTTCCCCCCCCCCCGCCCCCCTGTTCCCCCTCTCCCCCCGCTCCCATCCCCGCGCCCAGCAGGGGGAAGCCGAGCTCCGCGCACCGCCCGCCGCGGGGCCGCTCCCGGTGAGCGCTGCCCCGGGCCGGGGGCTGGGGGCTGGGGGCTGGGGTCCCGCTGCCACCCCCCTGCCGCGGGGGCGAGCCCCGAGCCCTGCCCGACCCCGGGGCCCGGCCACCAGCAGCTGCCCGGGGGGGCTCCGAGCCCGAGGCGGGGGCTCCCTCCGCAGGGGGCTGCCGGAGCTCGGGGCGCTGCGTGCCCCCGGCCGCATCTCGCTGTGCTGGAGCTCGCCGAAGGCCCCCCGGGGGCTGCGGGGCTGTGCGGGGGGAGCGGGGCCGGGAGGGGGCAGCGGGGTCTGCCCGGGAGGGGGGCTCTGCCCTGCAGCACCGGGGCCCGATTGGGGTGCCCAGCAGAGCTCCCCAAAACTTTGGTACTGGAAGTCGCAGAATTGCTGCCCCCTGAGGTCTTCTGGGGGGGGGCTTATCACCTCGGTGTATGTAGGGGGTGCTTTTACACGTCCTCACAGTTTTATAGACATCAGCCAAGCACGGCAGGATGTGCTGGAACTACTGATTTTTAGTATTTTTGTAGCTGGCAGTGTCTCCCGAGGACGTATTGATCATAGTTGTTACAGTGCTGTGTGCGCAGTCCATGACAAAGACCAACAGAATAAATTAAAACAGTTCTTAAATGCTGAAATTGGTTTAAAATGTCCTTCCAAATGTAGTCAGTTTATACAGTGCCTGCACCTCTGGGTCAGCTGGAAGAGAACTGCTCCTTTGAAAGAGTGCTAGCCATTAGCTGAAGTGGGAAGAAATCCATCTCTGAGGTCTAAATGAGCCAGCCTGAGGAAGGCGTTGTGCTGCAGAGCCTTATGGAAACCCCAGCATACTAATTAGCACAGCTTAATCAAAGAATGACAATCATGTCAAACTTGGTGCTGCAGTCTAACCCAGGCAAAATGTTCCAGGCAGAACAAAACAAACCTAGCGAGGAAAGTACTCGTGTTTTACAGAGAAGACAAGACAAAACTTTTGCTTAATGTTTGAGTCCAGAGGTCAGTGCTGCACAGAAAGCGTTCCTCCTGCAGGGAGAAATGACTCCAGCAGACCTGGGGGCACTTCTACAATCAGCCCCTCCGTGGGCCTGGCCACTCCGTGGGCAGCTGCCCAACCCAGTGACCCTGCCAGCCCCAACCTCCTGCTCCTGCCCATCCTCTTCCTCCATCTCACAAAAATGGATCAAGTCCTAATGGCCAGTCCCCAGCATTGACATTCCCGCGCCCATGCATGGTGCCAGGTGGCCAAAAGGACCACCAGAGAGCGGTGCCTGCCCTGGTGCTCCAGCAGTGCTCAGGCAGACGTGACCAGCATTACCCAGTCCCAGTCCCCTTGGATGGCTGGGCAGGACAGGATCTGACCCTTGCCTGCTTTATTCACAGTCACCCTTGTGCATGTGGATACCTCAAACTCTGGAGCAGACCAGAAGCCCATCCAGATCCAAGTCCAGACCCTAGACCCCATTTGCCCACTCTCCAGCTCCAGCCCTCAGTCTTTCCAGTCCCCAGTCTCCTCCTGCTCACCAGTTAGTCCATCTTGTTGTTTGTCGCCAA